GGGGGGCGTGGCGCGCAGATATGGTGGGGCGGTGCGCGCCCGGGAAGCCTCAGGGGCGGGGCCAGGAGAGCGCGGGCGGAGCCTGGCGGGCGCGGGGCGGGTCGGACTCCAGCGCTTCGCCTCAGCCTCGGGCACTTGGTGGGCGGCCCAGTTCTAGGGAGCCGACCATTTGGCCCCACCCCTCCCGAGCCCCTCCTGTGGAGGACGCGAGATCAGCTGATGCCCCAGCGGGAATCTAATTGGCCTCTCTGACAAGAAGGGCGTGGCTTGCTACTGAACAAAGCCAAAGTCTCCCAGGTCTCCTCCCCGCCCACGCCGCCCGCGGGCCCTGGCCAGTCCCCAGCCGAGGTGGGCGCTCTGCTGCCCGGCCGTGCCGCCCAGCCCGACTATGCTCCAATCTTGCTGCGCTAGAGGAGGGACCTCGCCTACCTCTCGGTGGGTGGGAGTCTGCCGTGGAGTTTGAGTTGTCAGGTGGGTTCTGGATATGCCAGGTTCCTGCTAGCGCCTAGAAGCAGAGGGACTGTGCTCTGTTCAGTGACTTTGTGACTCAAATCTGGAGTCCACCTAAAGTTGGTCGACACGAAAGAAATCCCACGTTCTGAGGCGACTCCCTCCAGTAGGCAAAAGTTTTTTTCTGGTGTGAAATTAGTGCTGACTTTGCTGATGAAAGCTCATCACGAAAGTGAATGACACACATGCATGAAACTGCCATGATGGAACCTTTTATTTTGTATGCTAACTTTAAAATTTAATTGTAAAAAATGCAGCACACCAAAACCCATTAATTATTATTATTATTATTATTATTATTGGTCTTTTTGAGACAGGGTCTCCCTGTAGCCCCAGCTGTCCTGGAACTCACTATGTAGACCAGGCTGGCCTTGAACTCACAGAGATTCGCCTGCCTCTGTCTCAGGGGAGTGCTGGGATTAAAGGCATGCGCCAGTATTTAAGTCGTAATACCTACCCGGAGAGAGAAAACCCCGGGTGCCTGGGTTGCTTTCCATGCTCCGCACACCAACCCAAAGTTGGCTATAGTTTGCATTTGACATTTTAAAGGAAAAAAAAAAATGAATAAATGTTTTCCTGACTGCAAAAATCAGATCACTTACACAATGTAAGGAGAATTAGCAGTTATAGCAGCAGAAAAAGACGGTTTGGTTTATATATAGTGGGCTATAGTCCCTTTAAACAAATGACAGCGACTTTAACACTCTCAACTGAAAATATTTATAGATTGGATTGTTAATGTAGGAAGTGATTTAGGACTTTTGGTTATTTTACAAATGCTTGGAAACAGCAAGTGAAACATTTGTGCAAAGTCACACAGCCAGTATTGTACAGAGGTGTGAAGATCTTCTCACTTTCTGTTATTATATCACTTTGGTAGTATCATAGATGTTTAATAAAATGCTATTATTTCTTTGCAATGTATTACACACCAGTTTCAAAGTAAAGTGGAATGCTGTCTGAAATTGACAATTGATGCCACTGTCTTCACAGAACAGGCAATGAAGGCTCAAAAGTGTGTTTTTGTTGCTGTTTTATATTATTTATTATTTTTATTTTATGTGTATGTGTGTATTGCCTTCATGTAGGTGTTGTGCAATGCCCACAAAGGACAGAAGAGGCAACCAGATCCCTTGAAACTGTAGTTATAGACAGTTGTTAGCTGCCATATGGATGCTGGGATTTGAACCTGGGTCTTCTGCAAGAAAAACCAGTGTTTTTAACCACTGAGCCATGTCTCCAGTCCTCAAAGGTGTGTTTTTACTACACAGTGAGTAAATTGTCTATCTTTGGAAAAAATAGAGGGGAAAAGAGGCAGAGGAAAAAGAGTTGAGAAAAAGCCCAGGCTCTTGTTCCAGTAGCAATGCAGAGACCATTTCCTGTCTTCCACCCTCCCACCAAAGCTGAAGTCAAGGAGCACCTCCTAATTATTTGGGGTGCAGAGCACTGGAATCCATTTGTGAGCAGAACCTTGAATCTAAATTACTCTCCTCTCAACATGCAGAGCAATGGTTTTACATCATGTGGTTCTGGAGGTGAAACCCAGGACCTCCCACATTCCCACAAACACTTGTATAGAAAGCCACAGCCCAGTCACAACAGTGACTTTAATCAGAGCTCTGTGTACTCATTTGAGACTTAAATCCTAACCAGTGTAGCAAATATCACATGCATGTAAACTTTGTGCTGCATTCTCATCCTTGACAGTTTTCAAAATGCGCAGTAGTAAATATTTCAACTGTGTTCATGATTGTACAAGGCATGTAATTGACAAATCATGGATTTCTCTTCAAATACAATTTGTCAGATTTGTTATGGAATTCTCTCAAAAGGGAAATGTGTGCTTCAGAAAATAAAGTGAAGGATCATTTTGTTTCCTTTCCTAATATGACAAATACATCTGATGCTTGCGTGAAATCAAATGGCACAATTATGATAATGTTAGAGAGAAGGGGACTGTAGGAGGAACCTTGTCCTGGTCTCCTTGGCATTTGTGAATGGTTATAATTCATGTTTGCTGGTTTATACATTTACATAACTTGTTCTCTCATTTATATAACTTATTTATGTAAGAGGCTGTACTTCCAGTTGGCCTTTATATGCTGCACAACTTCCCTCTGAATGAGGAAGTCTAGGCTCAGCAATCACTGGCACTGTAACAGGTCATTTGTCCTTCTCTCTGTGCCCCCCAAAAGGATGTGATCTTTGAAGCAACTACCTTTTAAATTCAAAGGAGAGAGAATTAGTACCTTCATTCATTTTCTAGAATTTAGCCTTTGGTCTCTGACTCATCCAGCAGGCTGTGTTGAAAAAAGAGGGCATCCAGCAAGCAGCCCCTGAGCGGGAGGAGTCTGCTGGCTGCGGAGCTCTCGCCTTGCTTCCTTTGAGCATCAGTTGTTTGTGTCATTCTTTGCTAACGAAGTAGTAAAATCATGAGATTTGTATTTCATTCCAGTTTTTTTAGTGTTGTCTTCTAAAATAGATCAGTTATGTAAGAGAGTCAGAAGAAAAGCATATCTGTTTCCTAATTTGGAAAATGCTTATCGCCATCATTCCCTGCTTATCCCTCTCACCCACTGCTGCACCGTAAGACTTTCCTGATATAGTTAGGTAAACTCCTGTTTAAGAATAACATGAACACAATGGTTTTCCTGTACACAGTTCAGCTAAAGAAGGGCATTTTAACCTCCAGTTTGTGATGGTTAGTGAATTTGCCTTTTGTCTTTTCACATTATTAAAAAAGGAAGACTGAAGCTTCAGAGATCCGAGCCAGGCTAGTGAATGTGGCAAGATGGTAAAGCACATGCCTGAGAAGGTCCTGGACTCAGTCAGCACATACGTACGTACATACATATATACAGTCCTCTTCCTAATTCAGGCTAGTAACTTTCTAGGCAGTGCACTGAAAACTAAATCATAAGATTTCATAGAATCAGCATGCCTACACATGATACACAGATGGAAAAGACTTCAGTAGGTCCCTTCTGATAAGTTTCATTCCAGTACTCATGAGAAAAAAGATCTGAGAATTGCTAGTTTGATAGAAGTTCTCTTGGGGAAAGAATCTAATCATTGGGTGGTTGGAGCAGGTCACCTGGTCTCCTGGTTCTGATTTGCCATCTAAATAGAGAACAAACTGAAACCAGCTCTAAGATGCTGTCTACCCCTGGAGCCAAGCTGCAATTACAGGTGGCAGAGAATTTCTCAGGCTCAGAAACATGGCAGAGTGACATCTGATGCAAATGGAATAGAAGGTAAAGTCTGGAAGGGAGAGGGTAGTGTTGAGAAACGCACTTTGTTGGTGCACAGTGGGCCCTTCTCAGAGGAGGGGGCATGAGCCTTGGGACGAACATTGTGCAGTCGGTGGACAGGAATCCCTTAGCCCTACACACCAGCTCATCCCTACCATAAATCTGAGGCTGAAGGAAAGCCCGGGGGGAGGGGTGGGCTGGTTATATAACAGGCATTTGTGAGGAAGTTTATATAAGATGCTAAAAATACAGTATATGATCGCTATAATAGTGTTCTAAGTGAAAAGTCCTAATGAGGACAGCCTGAGTAGGTTAAATAGAGGTGAGCCTAAGTAGATGGCTAAACCCAGTTGCCACAGTGGTGACTAAGTGGTGTTTGCCACAAAAAATTCACCTGCTGTCCCTGTGAGGAACACCTGGGTAATCAGGAGCTTTGCCAAGGGCATCTATCTTAATTCTTCTCTAATACTCTGAAGAATCTAGAAGTACTAAGTGTGTAATCTGTATTCTGTTTTACTAGTATTCAAGTGGATGCATTTCCCAGCATTAGGCCATCTAAAAGAAGTGAGCAGTGACGAACTGCATGTATTAAATTCTAAGACCTACCTATGAATTCTCCAGTGCTCCCTCCACCTCCCTAGCACTCATCTGCATACACACAGACACACATGTGTACACATGTGGGCACACAGACACAGACATACACAAACTCATGCACACACAGACAGACTTACAAGCATATGCACACAGACACACACACAGACCTACACACACAGACGCACACAGGGATGCATATGTACACACATGGGCCCGCAGCCACACACAGAGACATACATGCAAACGCATGCACAGAGCAACATATACATGGGCACAAAGACACACACACAGAGACATAGAAACACGCAGACACATATGTATACACTTGAGCACACATACAACACACCACACACACACACACACACACACACACACACATTGCTGCCCTCTGGAACATAAGCTCCTTGAGATCTGGGATTTCTGCCCATCTTGCTCACTGATGTGTCTCTGGCACATAGGCAGTAAGAAGACACTAGGTAATCATTGTTGAATGAGCCCACCCACAAA